TTGGTCAAGAATGGGCGTATTCCTTCATATATATTGGTAATTGGTCTCACTTAGACTCATATAGAACTTTCATGGGTAATTACAGTCATTTTAAGCAAAATAAATCAGTTTTGGACTATAATAATGTGTATTCATTCAACAAGAATTAAAAAAGGGATAGATAAGAAAAAAATCCAAGGAATCATTCGGAACTTCATCTTTCTACCGATGCAAGGCAGTGTTTTCATTATTCCAAGAGGCTCGTTAGTCTTAAAGCGATAAGCGAGAGAACAATAGATGCTTTCACAAAGAAATAAAAGATGCAGTGTTAACGGAAGTTATCGCCTAGGCGACGATATTAGACAAACTGTAAAGAGATAAATATTGAAGTCAAGTTAAGGGGAAAAAGGATAGATGGAGAGGTTATAGGCCTGGCCAGGAGACAACGAAATAAAGAGAGGGGCAGGCGAAGGCTTGGAAAAACTAAAGACATCAGTTTTAATTGGGAAAATGGGCTAATAAGGTAGCATGGAGTACCGAGTAATGAGTATGATTATTCTTGTATTAACTCATTTAGAGAGACGCTTGTTTGGAGTTTGTTGGAAAAAATGAATATAACGATAAATGTTAAATAATTTTTCGATGAGATCGACTCGCTTTTTTTTACTTTGGTGAGTTGCTGATTGGTGCAATGACTGATCGTACAGGTAATTCTGGCAAGGGTGAAGATGAAACTTATAAGAGTGAACCCGCCAGCCTATTTAAAGAATAATGAATACCTCTAAGAAACGTCAACCTAAGCTTACAATTGATACATTACATATGAATAGTGATATCATACTGAGACGAGGGGTGGCAACTGCAATCCATCATAGATAATGGCCTGACCTCGTTTTCGTAACTTGATCGTGTTGTCAGGGTGACCCGTTGGACACACGTTGTCCAAAGTCCTCTTCTGTAGTAATAATGATAATTACCAACATTGGACCGTGGTCTTGGTACATTCTGAGACGTTTCGCCAACATCGTTAATGAATTTTGTCAGTCTTAGCACCAGGCTACAACTCGTCAAAGAGAAGGATGAAATCCATCCCTTGATCAGTTTTCTGCCGAATGCCTGGATTATCACTTCTGCCCTGGTACATCTCCTTAACCTCTAACCTCGTATCTCAATCTATCGTTATCACAACTTCTAACTTGTATATATTCGAGAACTTTAGAGGCATGCCCTTTTCATTTCTTTGATGAGTTTTAGCTTGGTGTCTTGAGAATGGAAATACTGACGGATGATGCCAGCGAAACGCTGGAAAAGGTCCCAAGTCCAACGCAGGAAATTATCATAAATAGTATTTTGTCACAACCACTGGTGCCCAAATTGCTACATCAACCCCCTGTTCTTAGTTGGATGCAGATATACTTACAGGAACACAGTTTGGTGTTAAATTTCATTTACTGCAAAAGGTAATTATTATCTAGGACGATTGCAGATATGAAGACCAAGATGGTGTGGCCTCTTTTTTTGTCATAGTCAACGTTCGCTGTATTGTGGTCTGACCTAGTTAGAGAACTTACAACTAGGTCACTTTGAAAACACGAGCAAATCAGACTACTTTTATACAGCGAAAAGAGACTGTGGCCAAAAAGAGGCCACATTATATTCGTTTTCATATCTCTGATCATCTTAGATAATATTTATCCCTTGCAGAAAATTTAACGCAAAACTTCATTTCTGGAACCTACATATGAAGGGGGTTAAGTGAAGCATAATCATCTCCACCACCGGTATCAGACACCATTTGCAGGGATCCCGACCCTCATTCAGCTCCCTTTTCTCCTACCCTGCTTGTCAATTGGTCCCTGCTAAACATCAAAATCACTGTCTGACTGTCTGAAATCTGTACGTCTAAAAGCCCTTAATTCCCGTCCCCGATTACGTCATATTCCAGGATTTAAAGCAGATGGTGCCCATGCCCATGCCAATGCCCATGAATCTCCCACATTCATTCATGAAAATTTATCTGCGAATTCCAGCATTATCCAGTGTGGAATAGCGCGTTTTCTCAACAAGATGATCCTCAGTACTTATGACATATAATAAACTATTAATAATCCCGGAACTCTCATCACCATGATCTCGTAAAAGACGCACAAAGGCAATCGCAAAAATCGGCTAAAGGCAGGATTTATCTAACTTTTTGCAGTGCTTCCAAGTTGGCACAAGTGTTTAATTCTATTAGTTGCAAATGGGATATTTTGATCTCAAGCATTTACGCCGTGGGTAAGATCCTTGAGTGGATAACCACGTTATCGAACAGTTTGTTATGTTAGGGAATCTATAAAAATAATGAAAGCGATCGGAATACTGCGGTAGTTATTTTCGCCAATAATGACAGATAAGCGATGAATAATTACTGGCGAGGAAAAGTGAAATGCACGCAATGAAGAAACACGTTGAAGATAGTATTGAAACATAGCTGCTGAGAATGATTAAACTATATCAATTGCACACAAAACCAGTTGTGAAATTTTATTACGTATATTACGAGAATAAGTTGGTGTGAACTAAGGGCTCTAGTCACCATAGGTAGCTAAAGGTGACACAGAATTGATAATGAATTTCCTCAAAGATATGCTAATCAATACGTATAGTGGCTGAAAAGCTTCCTGGGACTATTTCTTTACTTTCTATTGATTTTTTTGATAAGCCATAAACAGATAAAATGTATTTGAGAATATTTTTTTTACGAAATTAAAGTGGAATGGATTAGTTATATCCTTAATTTAAATGAATTCAATTTCGATTTAGAGCAGCACAACGCTCACAATTACCTGTGGAATCCCACCAAGAGTTCGAAACACTTCTAAAAGTATCTACTTCTGGAGGGTCCATGCGGACCAGCTGTTGAGTAACCTCGCTAGCGTCATTAGTTTGGGTATCAGTACTAGTAGAAGCGAAGAAGCGGCGAAAGCCGCCGACCACAAGTGGTTCAAAGGGTCTAAATGCTTTGATAAGACGGGAGGAATGAGCAGCAGTGGTCTCCTGCAATGAGGCACGGCGACATGACGAAGAGCATGAGTAGGAAATATGGCGTATGTGGAGGGAGGATAGGGACAGGAGAACATGACGACTGGGAGGGAAAAGAAACTGGGACAGAAGAGGGAATAGGTAAAGGCCCCAACTTATAAATTCGAAAATAATGAGCAATAAGTCACACAGACATGCCAGCTAGGCTGTGGTTTGACCTAGTTAGACAAGGTTTATAGCAATTTACACGTCCCAACTAAATAAATACACGAAGCAAACCAATATAGTGTGGCTTTTGATTTGGTGGTAGTTTTCAGTGAGATGAGTAGGTTAGACCTCATTTTCGCAACATAGACATGCTATCAAAGAGATTTTTAGCAACCCACCTAATACTCTGATTTTTTTCAATGTTTTATATACTTCCAGCATCAAACCAACGACTGGGTACATCCTCAGCTACTTAATAAAAACCCGGTCAAAATGCTTCGGAATGTATCAAGTCGATGGTAGAAAGCTCAAAGAGCGTAGTACCGGCAAGTTGTTTGAATTTGTCTGAAGGCAGGGCTGAATTTTGAAAACGAAGTCATACAAAATGAACGAAGTTCAAACATTGTAATCAGCCTGAGCAACCCTTATCTTTAGCGTCAATTTATTACACAAAAATAGGCCTGTTAGTTGGATATAATGTTCCAAATAGTTTGCACAAGTCAAAGGTGAAAATATCTGGACCCTTTTGATATGTAGCCATCAAAGATAATCACTTACAGATAATTTCAATGCTTCCTTAGGATCAAAAACAACCAAATGTTTCCTCAGAACAGTACCAAAATGGTATGTTGGTGAGTAAAAAACGAATATGGAGAGAAATAAGTGATTTTCATGTCGGAATACTTCTCATCTCGTTTGAAGTGGTGAGTGGAAGGGATTGGTAATTTGGCCCCCATATCCAAGGCAATCCTTCTTCGGCTTCCATTAAGGCCAACTTAACAATCCCTTACGCGCACCTAATTAGACATCAACCTATTGAAGGATTAATAAAAATCAGTTTTTATACGAAGAAATGATGTTCATGCGAGAAAAGTGACTTCCATCGAACCAAGATTTACACAATCGTCATAAATGTAAATAGATTTCTTAAACTAAAAATAAAATCCTGAATTTTTTATTTATAAGCAGTTTCGAGTTTACCAGTAAATCAGTTATATGAGATGTATTCATCCTATTTCGTTTAAGGTGATGAAGGACTGGAAGTTTTATTTTCCCACATTTATATGAGTAGAGCCGACGTTTCCATTGAATTTCACATAGCCGTATTTCCCAAAAGTTGTTCTCATCTAGGGTTGACTGTAGTTTTGACTTCGCCTAGGTCTTATCAGCATCCCCAGCGGAAGTCGAACCATAACAGTGCAGCGTGTAAGCTCTACACATCAACCAATCCGCCACATTGCCACGAATACCCTTGGATCACAGGGGAGATGTGAATTGCAAGGAAGGCCAGGCATTTTCCAATATCACATAATTTGGTGGAAGTGTCGATGAAGCAAAATTACGTTTGCCATAATCGACTACATTACTTATTTTTCGTTAATAAACAGGGTTTCAAAGTATGTACCAGCAAATATAAGGGCAATTAATATCATTGACCAAATCAACAGGTTTTAGCCGTTGGATACTGAGTATCAAGTCTCAGATATTTCAAAATCTAGATTCATAAGAATTCTTGGTGCTTGCATACTATCGGATGTTCCCTGGTTCATATAAAGCATTCATTGGCTCATGAATGCCTTTGCATTATTCCCAATAAGTAAATATCAAAAAATATTCTGAGTGGAAAATGGTTTAAGAGTAAAAAAAAGCCATGGAGATAAGGATGTAGCCAAATGAAGCCATTCTGAAACGGAACAAGCAGAAAAAGTATCACCTTGAATTGAACTAGACTCAAACCGACAATCATGAAAACCAGACCTAAAAGCGATGATGCTCTTTCAGGTCAGAGTTAATAACAGACAAGAGTAATCTTTCAACTGATATTTCCAGATGAAATCTATCGTGCCAGCAAGAAATTAAGTGTGGACTAGAAAATGATACTATAATCTGAGAACAATTATGCCAATATGGCGACATCCACATTATTGAAGCAGTAGAATTACACTTTTCAGATAAGTCTTTGCTGATTTCATTAGATAAGGCAGCTAAAGTCTGGATTGATAAAATTATATTATATAAGAAAAAGAATCTCATTGATCGATTAGCTAGCTTGATAATAAAACTCAAAGACCATATTCGGTTGGCAATTTCGAATGAATGAGTGCTCAAACTAGTCACTTTTTCGGCCTAGCGAAAAAATCAGCATTCATATCAAAACATATTAGCTGTGTGAGTGAGGCGTCTGCAATAGAATTTGTTATTTGTGCTCCACATTATCACAACTTGACAAATACTCTAGAATAAAATAAAAAAGGGCAATTATTAACAAGGATTACAGGAAAACAACTTTCATAAGACAGGGACCCAAAGTGAAATCATCATAGAAGCTGCAATAAAAATATGCAAAAGTAAATGGGATCAAACTTGAAGAATAAAACTCTAATTGACAGGATTCTTTTGAATGATG